TGGGATGAAATTCTCCTCCTTTGGTGCCTCCTGGCAGCACTTTAACTATTTCACATTATTATCTCTGACTTAGAAGCAAAGAAGCCCACTGAGCACTCTGGGGACCTAGGATTCAAACCAGGTCTGGTCCTATTAGAAACCAGGAGGCAGAGCTTGAGTACTTAGTTCTGTTTGATAGCTTCTTTCTTGAGCAAAACGTAGAATTTGGCGTGTGCATCGGGAAGCCTTCTGTCTCCTGCATGGAGTGCCACCGCCTGATTCTCAACAGCGGCTTACCACTTGTTTGTAGAATGAATAAATGGAATGAAGGAACTCTGTTGAATTTAGGCTTCCTCCGGAAGCCACATTCACACCTGGAGAAGGAAGGAGCCACATTTGTACATTTCCAAGTTGTGTCCCTTCAGTGTACAAAACTCTGGTCTGAAGTTCTTGGTTTTTTTGATAAGCTTGCTCTTGTCCCCGGTTAAATAACAAAGTGCTCCTGAAATGGCTTATTTTCTGTATTTGTTTCATTCAGGGAACAATGTGCGAAAGCTTTGGAAATAACACATTTCATTTATAAGCTATCCTGCGGCCCACCATCGGTAATTCAGAACTATCATCCTGTATGAATTGGTATCATTACACCTTGAGAACCTTACCGAAAAATAATATTTGTGGACCTCTGACTTACAGCACACTGCTCTGAAAACAAGAATAATACACCAGCTTTTGTTCTCATGGGAGATTTCCGTTCAGAATTTTTAGGAGAGAAATATGTTAGACCTTTATGGGATCAATCTTATGAAAATTTAAACAGTTAATGGACTCTGGGCTTTACAAATAAGATTCTGGCATAAGACCTAAACTGTATGGGATCCAGAGTCCATCTTTTGTTGAAGAAGGAACACAAAGGAAATCAGAAATCTGACAGTTTCTGCACACATTGGGCCAAATACTGTATGGTTTATAGATGCATGGTGACCTCAGCTAGATTCCCTTGTTATTAATCCCAGCCCAGCTGTATAGGGCATTTTGATGAAAAAGATGAAGTCATCACTCTAGGCAATGAATGAGAAAAATTGATGGGGACAAAGTGATTATCTTAACATGGTCATTTGGAGTACTGGGATTTGGAGGAAATGCCCCCGGGGAAGGGGGGGCATGTTGGGATGGGGAAAGATATAGTATGTATTTCTTTTTTTTTTTTTAAGATTTTATTTATTTATTTGAGAGAGAGAATGAGAGAGAGAGAGCACAAGAGAGGGGGGAGGGTCAGAAGGAGAAGCAGGCTCCCCGCCGAGCAGGGAGCCCGAGGCGGGACTCGATCCCGGGACTCCAGGATCATGACCTGAGCCAAAGGCAGTCGCTTAACCGACTGAGCCACCCAGGCACCCTAGTATGTATTTCAGTAGAAGGAGTCCGGGTAGTAAGTGCCACCACAGGATCATCTGGAGATGGAAAGAGCCTGCCGGGGAAATGGTAAAAAGGAGTTGTAGCTAGCTTGAACAAAGAAAACGGGTCTCCAGGAGGCTCTGAGCCCCCGGCCCTCAGCACAAAGCCCACGTTCAGTAGGTGCTTCCTAATACGTGGTTGAATATGTGGATGAGGGAGTCTGGGATGGGACACTGTATCTGAAAAGGTGCTTTTTAAAAAGTAGCAGGCTATTTTTTGAGCAGTTTTAAGTTTACAGAAAAATTGAGTAGTAAGTACAGTTTTCATATTATCCCTTTCTTTTGCACACAGTTCCCCTTAGAATATCTTGAAATAGTGCAGTACATTTTTTGCAGTTGATGAACCAATGCTGATACATTGTTACCGACTAAACGTCATAGTTTACAGTAGGGTTCACTGTTGGAATCCTGCATTCTGTGGATTTGGACTGAGGTATAATGACATGTGCCTGCTATTATGGTATCAGACAGAATACTTTCATTGCCCTAAAAAGTCCCCTGTGCTGCCTATTCACCGCCCTCTCCCTTCCCCGTCTAAGGCTGTGGCAACCACTGATCTGTTTACTGTCTCCATAGTTTTCCCTTTTCCAGCACGTCGCGTAGTTGGAATCCTATAGTATGTGCATTTCCAGATTGGCTTCTTTCACCAGACAACAGGCATTTCAAGTTCCTCCATGTCTTTTCATGGCTAGATGGCTCATTTCTTTTTAGCGTGCATAATAATCCATTGGTGGACTGTAGTTTATCCAGTCTCCTACTAAAGGACATCTTGGTTGTTTCCAAGGTTTTGACAATTATAAATAAAACTGCTATAAATATTTGTGTGCAGGTTTTGTGTCCATACAAATTATCACGGATGGCACATTTAAAACTAAGTTTCTTGGGGCGCCTGGGTGGCTCAGTTGGTTAAGTGACTGCCTTCGGCTCAGGGCATGATCCTGGAGTCCTGGGATCGAGTCCCGCATCAGGCTCCCTGCTTAGCAGGGAGTCTGCTTCTCCCTCTGACCCTCCCCCCTCTCATGCTCTCTCTATCTCATTCTCTTTCTCAAATAAATAAATAAAATCTTTAAAAAAAAATTAAAAAAATAATAAAAATTTCTTATATGAAAGGTGAATTATATTTGAAATGGAGGTGCATGGTTGCACACCCTTTTGCAAAATACTAATTACAACACAAGGAAGTAAAATCTTCAGTCCTCTGCTAACTGCTTAGTCTGTATTATTTTACTTAGAAACTGTTGTATGAGTCAAAAGGGGCATTTTTCCTTCAAAGTATAAGTGGGGGTTATATTGTCTTATTTCTGCTCCCTACTTTAACTCATTAAACTAATTATCATATTCAGAATGATACAGCTTAAATTAGTGTTAGAGCCAAATATCCCCAAGCACACAGGTGATTTGCTTTGCTGTACCAAATAACACCACAATCAACGTCTGCCTGATAATGATTTATCATGGGAGACAAATCTAAAATGGCCCTCATGCATCTTATTCCTTGGTTCTGAGTCTGGCATTTATGTATATGATGTGGCTTCTTGGAATGTTTATTATGTGAGTTAAAAAATTGAGAAAGATTGAACATACCATAGCCGGTGGCATTGGCAATCAAATAGCAAAAATATGTCTTGTAACAGATGACTTGGGTTTTGCTTTTGCTTCAGAAGTCATCCGTGCCACCTCTGTGGAGAGTTGACTCTGCAGCCCCTGTCCTCCTTTTCTGGACCACATAGGTAAAGGTGCAGCCCCAAAGCAGAGGGCTTGTACCCACTGGGGCATGACCTATGTGCCGGGTAGGATGTGCTCATATTCACTTATTATCCCTGCTGCAAGGGATACCTGGCGTCCTTATAAAATTTCAATTACTGTGGGTTATCCTGCAGTAATGAGATGGTCCCCCTCCCAAATTTGGTTCCCATGTCTAGACTAATGATGCCACACCTACAGCAAGAGTCTATGAAAAGGTTTATTACTCACATAATGAGGCTTTCTGGGGGTGGGAGAGCAAGGTTGCTCCCAGGCTGGTCTGAAAATAGCTTGAGAGTGATGGGAAAGGAGAATAATTGACCTTTCATGGTGGGAGGAGGCAGGGACTGGGTGGGGCATTCAGGCAGAGACTGGCATAGCTTGAATCTCCCACATCACTGCAGGGGGCAGCACCCAGGCTTTCTTATTGACTCATTGGGCACAAGTCAAATAAGGACTGGCGAGGCTTAAGAGCTCTTCGCAGTCAAGCATCAAAAGTGGAGTCAGACCCTAATACCTCAGAGTGTAAGTGCATGCGTTAACTTACGAAATTAAACCGGCAGCATATGAGTATATGGTTCTCCATGGAGATTACAAATTGTGTTCCTCTAGTTTGACCCTCATTTACTTCTGATCTGACAGCTGACAGCAACGTCCTAATCAGATCATCCATATTTCAGCCCCTTCTGTCTTCAAGCAGCATCTGTTTTTTTTCTTATGGAAAATTTAGGCATAAAAGAAAGTAGACAGAAAAGTGCAGTAAACTTGCATGTGTCCCTGATGTGCATTGAACAGCCGTGAACTCATGCCTAATCTTGTTTAATCTATACCCCATCCTCCCTTCCCTTCTTCCTCTACTAATTTGAAGAAGACAAGCGGCTATGATACCATTTTATCCAGGAGTATTTCAGTAGGTGTCTCTATTTTTCTCCCCTTATATGTTGTTTAGTGCTCTGTGATTCTCATTGAGTCCATCCAGTTAACTATGTAAGGTTTTCGAATCTGGCCTTTGGAATAAGGTTTAACCCTTACTTCCTGGCTCTTCAACTTCCTAACTTAGTGTGAGCTTGAGCAGGTCACTGTCCTTACAGAGCGCAGTTCCTCCCATCTGAGAAAGGAAGCCTACACTGTTTACTCACAGGGTTTCAAGTGTCTAAATAAGAGAGTGTGTAATAGTCATTTGAGGGCAGAGACTGCTCCGTAGATGGTACCTGTTACTCTTACTGCTTTTGTCGAAACTGTGATTGTGTTGAAGCATTGCTATGTGGGCGGGTAGTATACAATCTTAGGTGTGGGGAATTAGATGTGACAAGAAAAAGGAAAGTAGAAGGAAACGGATTCTCTCCCTCCATCTGCCCCTTCCTCCACCCTCGCTTTCTCTCTCTCTCAAAAATAAATAAGTAAATCTTTAAAAAAAAAAAAAAAAAAGAAGAACATTGATGGTTTGGTGTTTTGCACTGAATAAGGGAAACTGGTAGACTTCTTTATATCTTCAGAACCCATTGCACCTTCCTCTAAGTGGGTCATGATCTCAGGGCCTGATTTTCCAGAATGCTTTCTCACGTCTCTGTACAGAACCACTCCATAATGCCTAGAGTTGCAAATGGTGCTTCTAGGTGACACTTGGTTCCATGACTAAACCTTCTAAGAACCCTGCCACAAATGGGCTTTCTGATTGCATTGCATCCCTCTTGGCATCAATGTGGGTTAGCTGCCATGTACGGGAGCATTTCCTTCCCATATTCAGAGAAGTCAAGAGCAAATGATCTCCCTTTCTTTTGTAAAGATGGAACTGTATTAAAATTGAACATTTCTCCCCTTCAGGGCAGATCTTGAATGTTCTCGATGAGTTGAAACTGGCTAATAACACCCTCGTCTACTTCACCTCGGATCAAGGAGCCCATGTGGAAGAGGTGAGCACCAAGGGAGAAGTCCACGGAGGCAGTAACGGAATCTATAAAGGTGAGGAATCTGCCGACACCGGTAAGCTCTGGCCTCCCAGCTCACCTGCTGGGCACTTTGCCTTGATCTTTGAGCTTTGATGTTGTCCCTCTGCTACTTCGCAGTATACAGGACCTGACTGCGTTGCAGGCATTGACCAGGGAAGTGACCATGTTGCCGTTTCTGTTAACGGTCCCCACGGAGATTAAAAGCACACTTTGTAGGTCAGGACATTGGAATGAAGGCCTGTTCACCCAGGGTAAACTCAGCCTCTTTACTGGATAGCTGGTTAAAACAATAAAGCTGTGTATTACCTTCCTGTTGCCACTGTGACAAAATAACACAGACTTCTGGCTTAAAACAACATAGTTTATTAAAGTGATTGTTCTGGAGGTCTGAAGTCTGGGATGGGTCTCACTGGTCTAAAATCAGGGTGACAGCAGGGCTGTGTCATTCTGCAGGCTCTGGGGAAGCCGTTGATTTCCTGTCTTTTGCAGCTTCTGGAGGCCACCTGCGTTCTTTGGCTGGTGACCTCTTCTTTCATCTTTAAAGCCAACAGTGCACAAGTCTTTGGACCTCCCTTCCTCTCTCTCTCTCTCTGACCTCTGTTTCCATAATGTCATCTCCCTCCCTCACTTACTCTAACATATGGTTCCCGAAGGACTGCTCTGATTCTACTTGTCCCACCCAGTCATGCAGCTGATTTTCCCTTTTCGGAGTTCTTAATCTCATCTTCAAAGTTCTTTTGCTGTGGATGGTCTCAGAGGCACCAGTTCTGGAGGATGAGGCTGTGCCCCTCTTTGGGAGATGGTTATTCTGCCGACCTCGATGTGCAGTAGCGTTTCGGGCTCATGCTTCGTTCCCGACACAGCCTCAGCTAAGCCACCGCCAAGACCGATCAGACTAGTCGTTGGGGATGTGAGGTAGTCCAAAGTAGATCAGACCCAGCCACTGATCCCAGGTTCCTTGTAGCGTGCGCACATGGTGAATACAAGACATACGTATCTCATTGCGATAAAAGGCGACCCATTCCACAGACTTAGACGACAGGCCCACAGGGGCATATCTGTGCGAAGGGTTAGGACACCCACCCGAATCTGCGGTGGCTGTGGGTTTTTGCACCGTGGGGCAGGATGAGTGGAGGTGACCATGGTGACTCATCGTGTCCCAGGTAGTGGGGACCACCTCCCTAAGACAACAAGATGTGTAACACCCAGGAAAGCAGGTGACGGTAAAATTTCCCTAGCATAAGGTGAAAAAGTGCTTGATTGCCCTTTTATATTCTCTCATATGGATGTTTCAGAGATTCCCAGGGATGCAGGGAATCCGAGTTTACCTCCAAAGATATGAAAGGATAATAAATAGGATGCTTTGGTCCATTAATTGGTTTAGAAATATTGATTGGGCTGTGCATCTGGCCCTGGGCCTGACGCAAAAATAAATATAAAATGTGGTCTGTGCCCTGGAGGAACTCAGGGTCAGCCGGTGGTTGGGTGGGTGGGTGACTGAGTGTGTGGAATCAGGAAACCAAGACCGTGGAATTTAGTAAAGGCATCAATATTTATAGGCACAAGAAATAGTGGTGCATACGACAAGGAGAGCCTCAGGAGGCCCGGGGGCCCCGGAAATGTTTGCAAAGTTGGCAAGCCTGGAAGAAGTTAGCCACGGTGCGTGCTTGCTCTCTTGTTCTGCGTCTAGCTCTGCGCATACTCAATACCGTAGCACTGGGGGTGAGAAACAGCACCCGGCTTGTCCCGCAACGAGAAGGAGTTGGATCGCTCTGCGTCACAGAGCAGCGAGGCAGAGAGGTGGAGAGAGGGTCGTGTGTTATCTGTCCCAAACATGCCTACCATGTACTTCTCTTTACACCTTCATATGTGTGTCTGCCGTCCTCTTCAGAGCACCTCGGGGCAGGGACCTTGCTCACACGTTTGTTTCCCTGGAACCTCGGACAGAAAGATTCCTGTTGAGTGCCCGTCCGGGTGACCTTCATAGGATGTGCACGGCCCTTTCCTTTGCTTGCCGTTGTTACCTGGGCAGAGCACGGCACGCAAATGCTGTTTGACTCGGGTCGGGTGAATGACCCGTCGTGTTTCCTCGGCACAGGATTAACCATCCCCGGCAGCCCCTCTTCCGACCAGCCCTCCCTCTGTTCATCCTCTTATTTTAGTGTAGGGAGAAGTGAAAACTTCTACTCCCGTAGATTAAGATTAGGTGTATCGCCGTATTTCAGCGAGGTTATGGCCTGTGTAGAGAGAGTCGTTTTTATTTTATTTTAGAGATGACAGCGTCTCTAAGGATGGAGTGATGGGTTGTATCGCATGCACGCATTCAGCCTTTTATTTATTCTTCCGCTGAAGGCCTGCGACGTTCCAAAGTAGGTAAGCGGCTGCCGGTGAGACACATACGTAAATCACAGTAACAGAAGCGGTTACAAAGTAATACGTGATTTAAGAAAGTCACATTATGACTGCCGTGAAGCGCGTCGGTTCAGGGAGATGACCAGATGACCCCCGGCCAATGGATCTTGGGATGCGTGAGGAGCAAGACGAGATGGGCTTAGCATTTCGCTGTGACAGTTGACTCTCCTGGAGATATCAGTGGTGTGGGTCGGAAAGAGTGTCAGGGGTCCCGAAGGATGGTCGCAAGCCAGGGTTACCATAGAACCCTAACAGCATGTCAGGAGCTACTCCCTGATTTTCTTTTTTAAGAGGAACATATTGGATGTGTGAGCAGTGTTTTGCTATTTCGCTTGAGTGCTAGAAATACTACCAGAGTATGACGCTGTGTTAATATCTCAGCCACGTTGCTGTGGCAAAGCATTATCCCTTTGTCAGATCGAGGTGGAATCAGGCTTACAGGGCAACATTGTTAAAAGGCGGCTGCCCTAAAAGGAAGATATGGTTTCCTTCTAGCCGTAGGAGACGACCAAAGACTCTTCTCAGTGTCACATCTCGTTTTGTAAAGCTGTCAACTCCAGCACGCTCGTACACAGAGGAATCGCGCTGTTTAAACTCCCTGATCAAAAGAGCATCTTTTTCTGAACAGTTAATGATTTTTAGTCTCAATCTAAACCTCTCGGAAAGATCTTTAGCATATGAGTGAGTGCTTCTACCCTATTACCCAGTCAAGTCGACTTGCCTAATGGAATCTGCGGGTGAATTGGATAGAATGGCTACAGTTAAATCATCCTTCTCCAGAATTCAACACGATCTTCCTTTTAGTCGTAGGGACAGAAGATTCCTGTGGTAGTCTTCATTTAAAAAAAATAATGTAATATTATAGGGGTGAAGGAATAGTGACACCATTAATACTTTCTCTCATTTTTTTTTTTTTTTTGAAGGATATGTGTTTGCAGCATGAATCTCCTGTTTAGATTTAGAGAAGGGTAAACCGTGTTGGTCAAAAGGCATCAAAGGAAATTGAGAGATAGAAGTAGGGTCCAGTGTGGACCTAGTGAAATTGTAGCAGTCTTGGCAATGTCTTCATCCTAACAGATCCTGATACATTTACTTCTGAGAATCTCCTAAATCAATTTTCCTTCCACTGTCCACGTGTTCTGAATGATTGTGTCAACCTAATAAACCTAGCCCACCAAGTAACAATCCGTGTTCCCACCATAAGAATTCAGGAAGCATTGCCTCCGTTAGTGCTTTTAGTTAATCTGACAGCGTTCCCATACTGAGCTGTTAGGATTTTCGCCAAGAGCAAGATAAATAAATGAACAACAAAATGTCAGAACGTTTACACTGGCCTGTGACCACATATAGCAGATAAATGTAAAAATTCCAGCAGGGCTGTTAAAATATTGAAAATGTGCACATTGCTAATTTGAGAGCGGGGATTGGGAATCGGTGCTTTTAAAGGAACAGAGGATGTACGATCTCCCTGCGCTCCTGTACTGTCTCTGGGACGCACAAGTCCCGGCTCTCCGTTTGTGTAAATGTTCCCTGGGCAGGTGTTGGGTCTGTGGTGGAGGAGTCCTCAGAAGGCTCTCTTCATTCTGCACACTCATCTGGACCAGAGCTCAAGGCAATAGTCCTGTAAATAGTGGTTCTCCCATGGAAGGAGCGGCTGGCCCCACTCTGCGTCACCTGATGTCTAAGTCAACGTTTGAAGCTCTTAGAACGCTTCTTGTAGAGATGGGTGTAAGCAAACTCTTGGAAGCTTCTGCTCCACCATCAGTGCCGGCTCTTCCTACTCCGTTGACCTACCTCTCAAAGGTGGGGACCTCTGGGGCTCTGCCTTGAGTCCCCTCACTTCTTTACCTACACACTCATGCTCTGGGATCGCACCTTCCTGATTCTTCTTTGTTGTCAGTTCACTCTCCACCCAGGCACCTGGATGAGCTTTAATACACATGCGCTCACTGTACCGTGCTGAGTTTCCTAGGGCAGCCACAAAGTGGATGGCTTACGAACAACAGAAGGTTGTTCTGTCTCACTTCCAGACACCAGAAGTCCTAAATCAAGGGATCAGCAGGACCATGCTCCTTCTGAAGGCTTTACTGGAGGATCCTTCCTTGCCTTCTGCTGGTCGCTGGCAATCCTTGGCTTCCCATAGCCTGTGGACACATCACTCCAGTCTCTGTCTCCTCTGACTTCTCAACTGTTCTTCCTTTCTTAAAACACTCTACTATATTCCCACCCACTGAGAATGAAATGTGAGGTCTGCACCTTGGCAGTACACAGTCCTACCATGACAGAGAGCTGCTTTATCTTCCTCATGCCTGTCTGCTTTTTTCTGGGGTCCCCCAGCATTTTAATCTTGTTTTCACTGTAGGGCCTCTCCATTGGCAGTTCCTTCTGGCGGGAAGCTCGTCCCCTGGTCTTTGCATTGATTTGATCTTTCATTCCCGCGTTGCCTCTGTAAGATCACCCTGGAGATCTCCCTCAATCAGAACTCAACATACCAACTTAGTAAAATTTCTTGTGCATCTGATATGTTGTCTGTTTATAATTTTGTGCTCATGATCTGTCTCCCTTCTTATAATGTAAATCCCATGGGAGCGGGGATCTGGG